GTTTGAAATCCTGTGTGAATGTTTGAAAATCTTTGAGAAATTCAAAATCATGCCATATGATGCGTTAGACCCTGGCCAGATGCTCCACACTTTTTCTTCATCCTCGTAAATATCCCTATACGAGTAGACGCATGTTTTGGGTTTCTTTAGGATTTCTTTAGGATTTCTTTGGGCTTTCGTTTAGGGTTTCATTTAGGGTTTCTTTAGGGTTTCATTGAAGGTTTCTTTAGGGTTTCAACTTAAGGTTTCATTCAGGAGTTCATTTAAGCTTTCTTTAGGGTTTCATTCCAGGGTTTCTTATCAGTATTTCTGTTCACGACTTCTAAACGTTCAAGTGAGTTCCTTTAGGGTTTCATTTAGGGTGTCATTTAGGGTTTCTTTAGGCTTTCTTTAGGGTTTCATTTAGGGTTTCTTTAGGGTTTCATTTATGGTTCTTTAGGATTAATCTATGATTTCTTTAGGGTTCATTTATGGTTTCTTTAGGGTTCATTTAGAGCTTCATGTAGGGTTTCTTATCAGGATTTCTTTAGGGTTTCTTTGGGTTTCACCTAGGGTCTCGCTAGGGTTTCATTTAGGATACAAACAGAACAGAATAAAGCAAAAGAAAATGAAAAACAAAGAGACAGCAAAGACAGGAAGCAAAGAAGCAAAGGAGCAGGAAGTAGAGCAGCAAAAACACATGACTGAAGAGAAGAAAAATTAGAATAGTAGAAGTAGAAAGGACCAGAAGTACAAAAGCAGAGAAGCAGGGAAAACAGAGAAGCAGAAAAGCAAAGAAGCAGGAAAAGCATAAAGCAGAAAAGCAGAGAAGCAGGAAAAGCAGGGAAAGCAAAAAGCAGAAAAGCAGAGAAGCAGGAAAAGCAGGGAAAGCAAAAAGCAGAAAAGCAGAAAAGCAGAGAAGCAGAAAATCAGAGAAACTCGAAAGCATAGAACCAGGAACCCCAAAAAAAATCCAAAACCTGCCGCGAAAAAATAAATAAATAAATAGCCCTCCTGGACAAAACATGACAAAACCTATACTGTTTGGTTGATGAGCCATGGGATCCTCAAGCAACATAGGAAGGCCCGAAGGATCGAAGGCGCCCTCACCAAGATATCACCAATATGGCATAAATATCACTGGTTGGTGGTTTTAACCATCATATTGAAAAATATGAAAGTCAATGGGAAGGATTATATATATATATCCCATACATTATGGAAAATAAAAAATGTTTGCTTGACACCACCAACCAGAAAATATTGCGTAGATCTTGCTGAATGGCCTACATATTTGGATACCCCATGATACCTCCAACTTTGCGATTTTTTAGCAAATCGCACGCCGATAAAAATGCAATTGTGTGGCACAATAGCGCCCATGTTGAGACAAAGATATGTACTCATGACTCGAAACCATCTTTCCTAACCCTGCGAGGCTTTCAAGATCAAACTGATCCAAGTGCTTGCAGACGGGGCACTGTCTAATGCCGGATTCTGCATCTAGCCCTGGTGGCGTTCCCAGCTTTTCAACAGAAAACTATCTATTTGCTGGGACGTTCCGCTTCCAGTGTCACAGGGCCGCCCCAAAAAACCTCCCGCGGTGTCCTAGATTGTTCTTCGTGTGCCAGCTGCCGTCGATAGCAACACTCCTCAGCAGGAGATAGAGGCGTTCAGGGGAAACACACAAAATGGCTCAAAAATCTACAAGGGGGCCCTAACACAAAGGGGGTGGATCTTTCGCCACATTTGAGACCACCACATGAATCATGTGCGGACGACCCGCATTTTGATCATTTTGGGATGCTTATGTTTCCTCAAACAGACCAAAAATTCCATTGGTAGCCCATAACTTGGTCGCCAAACCCACATAAAGTTAGGAAATCTGCCAAAAATACTCTTTTTGTAGGTGATGTACCAGTCATATCCCACACAAATGGGGGGCAGGATCTATGACCATCCGGCACCATCCGGCCATGAAACGCTGCAGCCGACTGAACTCCACGGAGGGCCTCCGTGATGCGGAGAAAACTCCACGGAGAACACGTCAATCTTTGGGTGTGTCTGAAGATAATGGTGGCACAGTGGCACATCCTATAAATGGATCATGTTTGGGGTCAATCTTTGTGTGTGTCTCAAAATGGAGGATTCAATTTAATGATGAACCAAAATGGGATTTGACCATAGGGATTTAATATGATTTAATGGGAGATCGAACCATGTATCCAACTTAATTGTTATTCGGTATGTCTGAAAATGGTGTATACCACCCATTTTAATGGGAAACCTCAAGCCGATGGATTTGGGGATTATTACCCGAGTTTCAAACACACCCATGTGCCACAACGCAATTCGCACGGTTTCCTGTACAATTAAGATGCAATCGGGATAGCATTTTAGGGATGGAAATGATATGTGCTTTCAATATTTTCCCCAGCCATCCGGCAGTGATGAACAGGTGCTCAAGAGGTAAATCATATACAATTTATAGGGGAAAACAATGTTCCATGGCAAACTTTAGATAAAACGATACCGGGTATCCTCCAGCAGCCCAGCATAAGGAAAATCACCCTGTGTAATAGGTACATCATCTATCGATCTATCGATCTATCTACCGATCTATCGACCCATCCATCTATCTATCTATCCATCCATCTATCTATATTTGTATCCCTGTCTCTCTCCCTCCCTCTTTCCATTTCTTCAGAATGTCTCAGCCTTCAATCATCTATGTCTATATCATCTATGTCATCTATATCATCTGTATCATCTGTATCATCTAAAAATAATTGACCATTTTCCATAGCTATGTCAGACCACGGGGGACAGGTGCGCCTTGGCTTCCGGCTGCACGACCGCGGCGGTTTCGGCCGATAGCTCGCCTCAGCAGAGTAAACCCATCGCGATCGTCACCCCGAGATTACACATCAGTGATATATGTATATATATATATGATATGATATATATTGTATGTGCATATGTATGTGTATGTGTGTATATGTGTGTGTGAGTATGTATGTATATGTGTATATATGTGTGTATGTGTGTGTGTAAAATTATATAATCATATGTAAATATATATATATATATATTTATGCAACTAATTATATGCGGCAGCGGACCCACTTTTGTTGGCTCAAGCCATGGCCACCCGCCACCAATCCCTAACCGCCTGTTGTGGCTTCAGGACTATCCGCTGTGGCAGAGGCCCAAGCACTGGCCTGTAGCATCATCGACTTCGATGTTGTCTTGGAGGAGCCAACCCCCCAAAACAAGTTTTGGAAAAACAAATCAAGAACTTTGTGGTCACCAATCTGCTAAATCTTCACAACCTGGCATCTTTTGCTACACACATCCCTCATGATGTGCAAAACTATGCAAAACTGCCACCTCCCAGCCCGTCATGGCATTTCCTGGCCTCCGCTTGGGCCAACTTTGAAAAGCCTTCCTTTGCCGCGGCTTTTTGCACTAAGCCGGCCTTGGGCGCGAACATGGTATCACTGTCCACAAGTTCGTAGAGGCCAACACCTTCCAATCGCTTCCCGTGTCAAACATAGCTGGTCAATCCCCTCATGGGTATTTATTAAATGGAAAATTCATCTATAAAATAGTGGATTTTCCTGTGCCATGTTTCAGTACAAGAGTGTCAGAGAGTCTATTTGTTAAAAAAAAGAATCCAGTCAAGGGTGGGATAATCGAATCACGTCACACCCGGAAGAAATTTGGCATGGACCCTCCAAAAAGACTATTAAAAAAGGGGGTCCCAACATGGTTTGGCCATTTTGGCCACTGGGAAATTGTAGGATTATAATTGGCCACTATATAATAGGCCATTTCCTTTTGGCAACTGAAATGATGTTTTATTGGGGGCTGCCTTTCAAATCTTTCTCCTAAGAACCCTGAGGCCAACTGGTCTTTCCAGACTTGATGGCTCCAGTTTTTTCTGCCAGTTGTGGATCATCAGACCAGGGGTAGACATGTAAAACATGAACAACGAAAAGTTGAAACAAAATGAAACATGCCGAAACCATCAAAAACATGTTTTGTTTGGTTATGTTTGGTCAAGTTTTTCGTGTTATTTTGTTTCCTGCTGCAGCGTCCAACACCTTCTCCGCACCGACAGAAAGCAAGCGCACTACTAGCAAGCCAGAAAACGCGGCTTCCAAGAGGAATCCCTCATAGAGCTAGGAAATCGAAACAGCAAAGGGCTCAGGGTCCCAATCAAAAGTCGTTGAGGCTCGAAGGTTCGAATGGTACTCCATGACCGGAATCTCCGACAATCTTCACCTCAGAGTTTCACCAGAAGTTGAGGTACTACCTGCATAGTCAGCCCATGGTCACCATGGTCTAGCCATTGTATATCGAAGGCGTTGGAAGCCTTGGTTCCTCTCTTTAACAATCATTTAGACAACTCAAGGAGCTACAATTCATGACTGCACATGCATGTCATGCCCACCAATTTGGTGCAAGTGATAACATGTGGCAATTCTATGCAAATCTGACACAAACCACAACAAAACACAACAATATACCCTTAGCTTCTAAACCCTTAAAACATGTCGGGTTTAACTATAAACCTCGGGTTTTCCCACCACTTGTACTAAAACCCCGGGTTTTAACCCAAAACCTCGGGTTTCCCTGAAAATGTCCGAATCCGGCCACCAGGTAGGGATTGAAAGCCCTGGATCTTGGCTTGAAAAGGATCAAGTGGTCGCAACATGGATGGAAAGACAAAAATATCTAAGTGAATAGTACATAAATTTCCTACAAAGCAATTGCTTAAACCCCTTGGTTGGATTGTTGAACCACCATGAACTGGGTATGCCAATGGATCCAATTTTGATGGGACTATCAAATCAATCGCTCTTTCTTATGCCAGGTAAGGATAAAATAATTGGCTATGTGGCCCCCTTAGGTGAATTTTGATAGCCACCAAAGATGTCATGCTAGGCCACTAGGCTTTTCACCAGGGAGAAACTAGAAGTCACACACATGCTCCCTGCCACCCTTTGCCGCTATGGTTTTCCGCCGGCTTGGGCGAAATGTCTGGCTCCCAGCTCCTGGAAACAGTGGAAGATGGAAAGCAGATTTCACTGCGTGGTGGGTTACTGGATGGAACTAGGCCTTGCTAGGCTTGATGCGTGCAATTTTCTGTTCAACAACGTCTAAGTACTTTCAAGTAAATGTGAGAAAGAATTAGGGTATCAGCCGTTATTTTTTCACATTACGTTCCCAACAGGTTTGATCACAATGTATGTCGCCCATGCCTTAAAGCTGTTTAGGCTCAGCTTCAAGGATTGGCATGGGCAACATGGCCCAACCCAAGACGAACGTAGAAGGCATTGCCAAGGAGTGGGATGACAACAATGAGCTACGAGACAGGCTCAGAGAGGGGGGAACTGTCTTGACGGCCCATCCCTCTGCCCAAGATATCTCCACGTGTACCAGGAACAGAGGAATCCTGGACCCTTTGCTTACCAGAATGTCTGTGGATCCCAAGCGAACAGTTCCGAACATCGACCAGTTAAAAGATGAAATTGAGGACCTCTTGAAAAGGAGTAAACGTGCTTTGGATGAAGGTGGTGTTGACATTCCCAAGACATCTTGGGCCATCCGCAAGTTATGTGGATTCATAAAAGCGAAAGCCCGGCGCCGAGAGGTTTCAACAGTTCCTGGTTTGCATCATAAATTTTCGGCTGTTGTTCGATATATGTATGTGGCTGGTGCCAATCACAATGGTTTGCATTATTAAATATGGGGAGCTCTTGTCCGATTCTCAGGTAAAATCATTCCAACAGATGGTGCTGCTGTTGGACCCCATGTTGCAGGCAAGCTTTGGCGGTTCACATGTTCCCTTCCGATATATATGGGTGTGTTGGTTTCCAACTTCAATACAATGCATGCCCCTGCCACGCATCCTCGCCAACTTGTTCAGGAAGAAGTGGACCGGGTCAACGAGAGGGTGAAGCAGAGGCTCAGAAAAAAGGGTCGCAAGGACTGGGAAGTTCCTCTGCATGGGCAACACTGAAACTCACTGAGGAACACACTGTTCACTTTTTAGTCACAACGGGATTATGTTACAAACATGTATGGTTTGATCCTTCCTTGGGACTTGTTTTTCAGGATTCAGTCGATGATGATGAAGATGCTTGGGACGATTCCGAGGATGAGGAGTCAAGTAGCTCTAGTGGTGACAATACAGAAGACATGAGGAGTACTGAAGATCCCGACCCTGCAGCCGAAACAGAGAAGAAAGAAGAGAAGAAAGAAGAGAAGAAAGAAGAGAAGAAAAACGACAAGCCGAAGGATCCAATCCTGGTCCCAAAAGCGGCCTCACCCGTGGAACCGTGCCCAGGAAAAGACGCAGCCAAGATTGCAGGTCCCAGCCAGCCCAAGGTTGAGAAGGTCGCTGCAGCAGAGACGGTGTCAAGTTCTAGCCTTACACTCATAACCCACTACCTTTCCTTGATCGAAATCAAAAAAAAAGAACTACATGTCCTGATGTGGATCATTTTCTGATTTCAAAAGCCAAGGGCTCATGCCATGGCATGTCCAGCGATGGGTTTCATTACAAGGTTCTCAAGCTGATCTCCTACAAAAGCGTCAAGAGGTGATGCGGAAGTTGGAAGAGTTTCCTGGTATGCTCAAAATACATTTCAAAAAAATGTGTTCACACAACTTTGCCCAAGGCTTCCATCTTAATGGATTGGTTGTATAACTACCCTGGCTCCTTTTTCTGCCCAAGGCTACGCAAGAAAAAGGACATGGATCTTAAGCCCAGACCTCCTGCAACTCCCCAGCAAGCAGGAGACCGTGTCCTGAGTGTCCTCTGTAATTTCAATACTGTAGCACTGTAGTTTTTTTTTCAACAAGTGACATTACAAGTTTAAGAGCCTTTACAAGACTGAATGTTTTGAGCCACAACTTTCTGACTGTTGCGAAGGAGTTGAGAAGAAACCTAAGCCCTCCATCCCTGCAGACAACTTGGAGACCCAGCCAGTTGATGTTACAGTGCTCACACCTCCACTGGAGCCTGCTGTTCCTCTGGAGAACTCACCTGAGAGAACTGTATCCCAAAAACGTGATGCATACCAAAAGGTTTACAGGGATGATGAAGGTAGAACCCTCGAGTTGGGAAAGTCAGGGCCAGGATCTGTGCCAGGGAAGGCCATGGTCACCAATGGCACTCCCAAGGAAACGGAGGAGAAGTTCTCTGATGAGGCTGGGTGGGCTCAGGGATGTTCAGGTTTGCATGGAGTACAACATGACTTAACAAGGGTGCTTACTTCTGAAATATTTCACACGTTCTGTTTGTTTCATGTTCTGCCTTCAATTTGGGGCATGCAGGAGTCTGAAGAACATGTGTCAAGGCGAGATCAGCTAAGTTTGGCTCCGCGAGGACGGGGCAGAGGTCGTGGGAGGGGAAGAGGAGCTCCAGCGAAAGAAGGTGGGGCAGGTGAGAACAGGAAGGAGAGTAGAAAACGCAAGAAGACAAAGGAAGCTGAGACAGTAGAGTATGAGGAGTTCTGGACGGAAGACATGTGTCAAGAATGGCAAAAATGGATTTATGAAGGGTGCTGGTACAACGAACATCAAGAGGATTCTGAAAAAATGAATGTCCATGATGAGGCGTCCAAAAACTTCGATAGGTATGCGCACTTGGCTGGCAAGGCAGCCATGCACCACCTAGGAGCACATGCAGCCAGCAAAACTAGCAGTGCAAAGAAGGATGCAGACAAGAACAGCAACTCGAACAAGGACGAAGACAACATGGCAGGCAAGAAAGTGAAAAAGGTCAAGGGAAAACATGATGACCAGGCAGAGGAGAAATCGAAAAGGCGAAAATCTGAAACTGAAGCGCTGCCAGAGCCATCTGAGAAACATGTTTGCCCAACTACTGAAAAGGACCAAGTTAAGGCAATCACGAAGTATTTGAAAGCTATCCAGAAAATGGATATCGAAAACCCCAGAACCCCACGGATGGAGACAAAAAAAACCTTCGGGAAGGGTTGCTCCCCCCTAACTTGGAAGAGGTGCGTCAAGGGGGCATGTACTGGAAGAGGCCTGCATTTGGTGTGTACCACAAAGGGCAGAAACGTGACATTGCCTACTTCCAGCTTGATGAAAGTGATGGTGATTGTCTACTTCGTCTTGGAGCATGTTTGAAAGCCTCCACCTTGATGGTAACTTGAAACAATGGGGGCTATACTGTATATTTCTGTTCACGGTGAGATGCGCTTGAATGTTTATGTTCAGTGCTGTTGGGTTGCCTTTTTTCAATGTTGATAGTCTCCCCTTGTCCCATCATAGCCGCGCTCAGGCAATCTACGTTGAGGAGATGTCGAAAGCGCCCCGGGACTCCAAGGATGTGATTTCTGATGACCCAGGTTTCATTTCAATGAAGGATTCTCTGAGGAAAGCTGCCGCACTCGCTGTGAGCCGGATGTCCGGCTAGTCAAAAGACATGTTGGCTTGCACCTGCCCACCGGGTATGGTGCTACATATTTTAGGGTATATACGGCTTAAGTTGTGAACAACTTGGCAAAGTAGGGGCGGCCACACTACCTCCAATGGTGTGTGCGTGTGTGTGTTGAACACAGGACAGCCATCCTTTGAACTCTGGGCCCAGGGGGAAGTTTCAATACATCGTGTTGGTGACCTTGTGTGTGTGTGTGATTGATGTTTTTCAGCTGTCTGTTTCTTTCACATTAGCTCGTTGGCCCAGCCCAAGGGATTGTCCTTCAATCCAAGGACCTAGCGTGACACAATCCTAGTATGTCCTTTGCCTTCTCAGACATAGCCCAGCTAGTGAAGAGGCTGCGGTGGCAAAACATTGTCAGTGAATCCAATTTAAATGAACAAACAGTTTCTGTGTACCATTTTGGGTTTCCCTTCAAAGGTATTCGTTTTTTCAAACTGCTGGTTCGTGAAGCAGCCTTAAGAGCAGCTGAAGGTTTGGAGGCATGAGCACGTGCAAACACGGGATTGCCAGTTGAAAAGCGCATGGTTGCAGTTTGAGACTCGCTGCCTCGATGTTTTAGCATTTAAGAATTGAATATAATAATTGATATAAAATATAATATATAATATTATATAATCATTTACAACCTTGCCACTAGCCGTGGCATCCAGACCCGCCCACAGCGCAATCCGTCCTGAGGCCACAAAGGCATCAGATGCAACGAGAAGGTGCAACCTTTGGCGGGTCAGGGAAACCATGAAGAAAACCAAAGGCGCTTTCGGCATGTCTTATTTCCAAATCCCAGAGTTGAGAATGTACAGTGGGGGAAGCCTTCAAACTTTCAATATAATTAACATCGAAAGAAACCAATCACACCTAAGAGAGATCATGTTGAATTACGCAATCCAACTTGAAGAAACTTCCTTACATTATCTTACAATTATATGGTCGCATGGCTCGAAGTAGATCTCACGAGGGATAGAAATTAACACAACAACAAACGACCCCACAGTTTGAAGAGTAATTATGTGACCATGCCACATTTCGATTCCATATGTTCCTATGAAAAATCCACCCCTCATGATTTTTCACTGGTCATCTTGATCTTGGGCACCGGGACCCCAACCCTGGGCTTGCGCCATGATGGACCTGAACGCGCTGGTGTGGATGCTTCGGGAGCTTCATTGCCCGAAGGACAGCAGTCAGCTTGAGGGATTGAAAGTTCATAGGTAAACAGCATTTGTCTCTCAAACCATTTGATGTCTATATTGTCGATTTTAGCATCGTCATCAAAGTTGTTCACGTCTGACAGTTGTTACCTTACTTCAAAAAATTGGTTGCTGATTGAACTGCGATGGGTGAATGGGTTCAACACATTGCAGGACTTCGTCTTTTGCATCTTGCTGCTCTACTGGAGCTACACCATGTGCGAGGACATGTGATTGGAGCTTCAAATTGGTCCCCCACATTTGTTGGGGATTGTGAATCTAAAACCGCTGGGGTAGAGGTAGATATAATGTTTTAACTTCCTGTCAGTTATGATATATAAGGAACCAGTTTGATATATTGCAATAGGTATTAGGGATGAATAGGTCCCCAAACATGATCTGTGGGGACCTATCATTTTACATCATTTTACAAAGCCTTTCTTTTGACACTGGCCTCCCATTCGATATGAAATATGCTCACTTGAAAAAAAACTATCCAACTGCCAGGGTTCAATGATCCAGGAGTTTGAGCACTATGAGTTCTTTGCTGGGGTGGGCAACATCACCAAAGTTGCCAAGGCCTCTGGGTACCGGGCTCTGCGATTCGATTTGATTGACAACCAGCAGCCTGCAAGCCGTAAGAGCAATTTCATGGATCTGAGTTCGACTTCCGGGTATGCGTTGCTTGCCCCATGGTGATTCCTAGATTTTGAGGGTGGGGAGTGTATGTGATAAGACAACCGTATCCCTTCAATGGTTGGGTATCCAATATATTTCACGATTTGGGATGTTGGATTGGGAAATACATCATCGCCTAGGTTGGCCATGCTATGCCTTTTGCGAGCGAAACTAAAGGACTTTGTAGCTCACTTTGGCCTTAAATGCTCCAGCTTGTGCCAAATGAACTGTGGCACAAGCATGCGAGCGCCATGCTGCAGCTTGGGGTTTGACAAGTACCCGAGCGTGTTCTTAAGCAATGTCTTAAGTGACAGGACCAGGGCCAGAAACATGAGTGATAATTCATTACACCTAGGCTGTTACAGGTTTGGTTTCTGCAGCCCTGTGAAACTTTTTGGATTCAAAGGACATCAATCCTTTGGTTTCTATTTTTCGAAAAGCAGTAAACAATATAGTCTTTCTGGGAATGCGTTGGTAAATGGCAGGATGTGCGCCCTCCTCCTACTGACGACATGCCTAGGGGGTGCCTGGACGGTTGAACAGCCCTTGGGTTCGGTGTTGGAATTCTACACAACATTCCGGAGAGTTGTGAAATCCATCTATGACGCTGCTGGCCCTTTCGCAGTGTCTGCATTTCCTATTCAGTGGTATGTTTGTTCCCTTGTTCCCTAGGTCTTTTACAATGTATGCTTAATTTTGGGGTTCCCCAATCAGCAAATATACCTTTGGCTCTAACAACAGTATTGCCCCAAAATCTCAGCCCAGGTAGTGAAAGTCAAGTGGTGGATGATCCACTACTCTGCAAAAACACCGAAGCGACATTATGGTTACTCTAATTCTGCGGTGGCATTGGAGTTTGACAAGGGTAAGCTGACTCAGTCTGATCGAAAACCCAAGTCTGAGAGAATCAGAACGGCAGATGCTTACTATGACAAAAAGGGTGTCAAGAGGTACAAGGGCAATTCCAACCTACGAAGCACTGAGTTTCTTGAATGTGATAAATTGCAAGTGTGGTTTCCGATGGTCATAGAAAATGTTGATGTAGCATCCACACTACTATGATAGTATAATAATATCTAGCTATTTTGAATGAGTTGCCAATACAGACCGTGTAGTCATCATTGGGTCCCTTCCCTGTGCTCACACTGCATCAGGATATACCCCATGCCCTTCGCCAGAGCCTTCGTGGACAAGCTGGAGCGTCTCAAGCAGTCAGCCCAGGGGATGCCTCAGCTACCGGAGGTGGTTCCAAGTGCTTTGGATTGTCTCCAAAATTGGGGCCCTGATCATGGACATAGTGATGTGTGGCAGTATGCAGATTTTGCATCAGTGTTTAATTATTTGCGGGGAAGCCGCAAGTTAAAAATTCCCAAAGAATGGCGTGGTACAGTGCCTGACCATCTTGAGTCAGCCAATTCTAGCGCCATGACTTGAAGTGGTCTCGGAATGTCCCAATCCCATAGATTTCTGATTGAGTAGATACCTCATAGGGTCCGAACAAAAATGATAATTTTCAATATTTTAGCATTTTTTCATCAACCGATCGGATTTTTACTTTCCCATTCGGAAAAAGTTCGGGTTAGAGATTTGGCGTCAACTAACCCGTGCCAAACCCATGTCAAACCCGTGATTTACCCATGCCAACCCGTGATTTTTCTAGGAAAACCCCGGGTTTCAAAAAAAAACCCGGGTTTTCCGAACCCGTGCTAAACCCGTGCCAAACCCGTGATTTACCCGTGCCAACCCGTGAAAAAAACATGGGTTTGGGAGCAGTCCGAATGACCAAAACAATTGTCCGAATAACAGGGTTCTTTCGACCCTTGGACGTCAAAATTCGACAGCTGATGCACTTAGATACGTCCGAATTCAGAGAAGCACCCACTGGATTTCAAATCTGATGGCCTACAACGCCAAAAAGATCGGATATTGCAATCCTCAAACATTCAATATGAAACCTGTGCCATGTTGGTTGATTTTTTCAAGTTTCTGATTTTGAACATGTGCTCTTCACAGATACTTAGACATTGCCATGCTACTCATGCCATAGCCATCCATCCAAACAGGCATCTTAGGCACCCAGCAATGTCGAGACAGCGGCAACCTGACACTGAGACTCAAGGCGATTCACAGCGGTGGAGCTGCACGACCCTAGGGGATGGGATCGACCATGTTGAAAACACCTTCGCCAATGATGATCTGGAGAAAGAGTTATTACAACAACTTCAGGACTAGTGACTAGAATCCATGCAATGTGTTTGAACTTGTGAAGCTTTGGGTGCTTTGCATCAACCTAGTGACATGGATATAAATTAGTATTCCTATACCCCGAAATATGTGGTTCCTTGGCAGGACATCGACGAAAAGCTCGACCGTGAGAGTGATGTCAGGGGCCCAATTTCCTTTTTTCCAGCCACAAGTCCCACATCCTCCAACACTTAGTGACTTGATGGCCTCGATCCAAAGGTTGGGAAGGACGTCGCAGATATGGACACCTTGCCAGTCTGATGCCCAGACATTTGAAATCTTTTGAAGGGGTGTTATCTGTCTTCAAAATATAGTTTGATCATCAGGGGATTTCGAAGGATATCACACATATTTGTCTTACGATAAATCTGAAAGAAAAGCATATATATATATATCAAATATATCTTTATATACAGTCATTGCAAACTTACTGGGGTAGGATATGTGTTTGGAACAACATCCTGCCGGCCAAGGCCACTGAAGATGAACTTTGCAAAGCAGGGAAGCCCATGGAGAAAGGTTGTGACCCTTGGACTTTGGGATCCCATAGGAAACAAACTTCATAATCAATTGCGTTACCGCTACTTTGGATTTTGTTCTCCAAGTATATCCTTCATTCACCCTCTCTTCGTGGCTTAGGACGCCTCCACTGAGCTTCCTACAACCCTCGTAGTTGGAACACCTGTGCCGGAAACGCCGCCACAAGTGAATGGCACCGAGACACCCAAAGCCGCCAGCACAGATGCCGGTCAGTCACCAAAGGCTTACATACCCAAGGGCATGACACTGCGTCAGGCATGGTGATCAAATGTATATAAAAATCAGGTGTTCTTATATCCTCCTGTGTGTCTACAAGCCTTTTAGGGATGTTCATCTCAAATATATTATTCCATAATAATGGATATTGTTTACACTATTTTTCATCCAGCCTTCAACATCGACCCCCTGAAGTTCAACCTGCGCCGCGCTGCAAAAGCCCGGATCCACAGGATGATCCAGCCTAAGAGCAAGCGTCGAGAGCTTTTGGCCCCTGACTATGTAGCCAAAGAATGGCAGAATGGGGATAAGAATGGCATGGCGGACTTACTTGTGTCAGTCAATTGGTCAAAGGACCCTTGTTCCGTTCAAATTTGATGATTCTAAAGTATGATATTACTGAAGAGATTATATCTGTTGGTTAGATCTTTGCGGAGTCCACTCGAACATGTCATAGCAGGAGTCTTTCTTCAGCGAGCTTTTGATCATCATCAAACGCAAGAAGACGTACCAGCTTGTGATCGATGAAGGGTGGTATTCAGAGAGTGAACTCAAAGAGTTGGGATGGAGTCAGCACGGTTCCTAGTTTTTGAATTCAAATGCCGCAATGGTTTGCAATCTAGTTCACTTCAACAACTCGTAGTTTTTTATGTTCTGAGTCTTGCACCAGGAAGAAAATCAATGGTGCCAAAGAACGATGCCTGGCTTTGGGCGAGAGCCATGCCAGGCAGATCTTCAAATTTGCAGATCTTCAAACGTATCTAAATTGGGTTTGCTAAAGCTGTATGGTTTCAACTGCTGGGTCTAGTCACATTCATTTGGCAGCTAGAAACCTGGAAAGCCAACTTGCTTGTGCCACTTTGCAGGAGAAACTCGTATGATGGGGAGCTCGAGTTCTGGGTTGTGACGAAGGAAACGGGAAAACGAACTGAAGAGAGCTCGTATGAAGAAGAACACAAGAAGCGACAGAAGGCTTGTCATTATGATATGTCATGATCTATGCTTTAGAGGAATGTATGTACCTTAAAACAACTATCTTCGCAAGCTGCACACAGTGAAAGTACCACAGTTACTACAGCCAATCAGCTACCCCAACTCTTCCAACATCAACGCGTCTTTGCTAGGTTGATGACATTCCTGAGTCAGACCTGGGCAAAGACTTTGCCCACTTGGAAGCCCGAGTTCAGCGTGACCAGCTTGAGAAGGACAAGAAAGCCCAACTTCCACAGCTCAGCAAGTACCAAGAGGACTTGGAAAGGGACTTTGCTACCAGGGCTTGTTTTGAAACAGTGTTAACCGATTTTACCCAAAATCTGTTTATTATTAACATTCTTTTCCAATTCATGTCTTACCCCTGTAAGACGAAAGATAAGCTTCAGCGATTCTTGCAGAGCATGACTTCCAAGAGCGGAAAGCTTCGAGCCCTTGTCCGTGATTTGAAAAAGGGTTATTCAACTGCTTCTATTTCCCCGTCACCTGGTTACAACAAGTACTGGATGTTACAATTTACAAGTGTAAAATTCCTTGGAAGTTTTTCAATTCATACTGTGCCTGGGTCCCATGGTTCATGTTATCTGCCCCACATCACTGCCAGCTTGGGCCCAGGTGCGTGAAGAGCCTCGAAGACCAAATCTTGGCAGTGGATACCCAGTATGACCTTTGCCATGAAGCTTGGGGCAAAGGGGAGGTCGACAAATTTGCGTCCGATGAGTTCCCTGGACCACAACATGTATACAATAACTTTGCCACACACACACATCCATAAAACCTATATATTATATATGTGCTTAATTTATTTTGCATTTTCCATGTAGCTCTCATCACTTAAGGTGGTACAAGAAGGCTGAGGCGGCTATGGACAAGGCAACCCTTGTGTTCCCTACTCAGTCTTTGGCCAAAAACTGTGATAAAAAACAAGCAAACATTCAATCATTATTCCTAAGTTTTGAGGGTTCAAGTGGGGTGGCCCCAGGTGTTCAAAGGCTGCAGCCGAAGAGAACAAGATCAGGACAATAATTACGGTTTCTCTTAGTGACTTTTTTGGTCTCAGCCGGATATACCCCTGCCACTCATTAGATTAGATAATCCAACCATAAGTTCCAAAGACCTGCTAGCGCAGGAACGCGAAGAAGTATTTTGACAAGAAGGACACCGACGAAGTGGATGAGACTCCGCCGCCTAAGTTGCCTAAGGGTGAGCGCAAGGAGCGCAAGGAGACCCAGAAGGAACCGAAGTCCAAAAAGGACAAGAAACACAAGAGTAAGAAGTAGATTCCAAGTTTTCTTTTGTTCAGGTATCCCACGAAGTGTTGTGCACACTTAGCGGCTTTGCAATTTCAATAGTCAAGCTACACATGATGTTGGATTCCCTATATGACCCATTCTGTGAAAATATGATGAACTATAACTATAACCATACATTTCGTAATGGAAGTGTTGTTGGTTGCAAAGCTCAGTGTGAGAAACGCACGGTGCCATATGGCAGATGGGGCTGCCTAGCTGTGATGTTTTTATCATAGCATTGGCTCTTCAATCCAGTCTCTTTCGAACCTCAAGACATGTTCAAGATATGTTGCGCCAACATGGGCTTCAAAAATGAGCGTGCCAGTTCCCTGCTCGACACTTCAAATTCATTTGGTCACTGCTCCTTATTTCGATGATTTGCGCCAAAAAACAATTACAAATATATATATGATGAGAATAGTTCCCAATCGACCCAGTCACCAGCATCAACACGCCAGGTGTCAGGCCTGGCAGAACTATGATGGCAATGAGTGCTTCCATTGGCGAAGGGGCCATGGCCTCAGCATTTTGGGATCTGGCAAATTTGTCCCAATTTTGTTTCTCTTGCGTGTCAACCTTTGGCATCAAACCGGACAAATCGCACACCGATGATTAGGCCCAAATAAAACCATCCGTGTGCATATGAGTTCCGAACAAAATCATGGCGAAAGTGCAGAAGAAGAACTCTTTGATTTACTGACATGTCACCGATCTGAACCTTGACCTTTCAAAATGAAAACTTTTGGGGTTTCTTTCCTCCAATGTTTTGGGTGTGGTTTGTATGCGGTGTTTGCATGCGCGTTCCCACAAACCTGAGGATAATGAAGCACCCTTTCCATGGAAAAGATCACAAAGATCACATGAGAGCCCAGCTACAAGCAGTGATACTCAACATTTTCATAGTGGGGGGATGGTTACCACAGAGGCGCCACTGGACTCCAACCAGAAGATGCGAAAAAAAAAACACATAGTATGACTGAGAAACAGCTCGATGCGTCACCCCGGTTGAATGCCCTTTCAACTCAGTGCCAGACTCATGGACCAATCCGCTTTGAACTTTGCCACCTCACGGCTTCGGCCGGCGCTGTTCTCCGACACTGCATCCAACTTCTGGAATGTCTATTCAAAAAAGAGGAACCGCTCACTTTTAAAATTGGCTTCACACACAACCCTGTATGGAGATGGTCTAACAGCATCTACGGCTACTGCAATTCTAAAGACAAGTGGGCTGAGATGATCATCATGTATTACTCCAGGGAGCCCTATAGCGCAGCAATGTTAGAGGCAGCGCTCATTGAAAAGTATAACGGCAACTAACTTGCATCATATGTGTTTTTTTTTCCGTTTTTCCCCTCTCTAACTTACAGGTCCCATTTTTTGCAATCTTTAGAAAATCATATTTACAAAAATACAAGTTGCCTCAGCCAACGCCGGCTAAGGCAGACGTGGATGTAAAAATGAGAAGCCCGGCGGCGACACAGTAAACACAAACAGCTCAAGCAAAGATGATCGCTACATGACCTATGTTGTATATAGATCGTATAAAACTCCGCCACCCCTCCAAAAGTTGTGCGCGTCTCACCCTGGCTGATGGACAACCATGTTTCCAGCCTATACACATTGTCACACTGAAGCAGGGCGGGCTTACTTGAAAATGATTTCTTGGGCCAAAAGAATCGGGTACGAAGCTGATTTTTCCGTCCAGTCATTTCAAGATCATTGAGCACTTCACAGGTTTGCAGGTTATTCCGTAGACAGCGACACTTTTCATCATTCTTCTTCCAGTCCCAGCTAACCTACCACTCACACACTTCTGCTGGTCTTGATTCTTGGTTTTGCTGAGGCCTCATGTGCTTCAGCCGTCAAGTTGGCCAAACACATTGTCGCTGACGTTGGTGAGGCCGCAGCTCTGAAATCAGGAGGACTGGTGGACCTTTCAAGACGGGCGCCACAAAATGGAGAAAGAGATTGTGAGCGATTGATGTCCAAACGGTTTGGGTTGACCATGCCAATCAAAGCTTGTTCTCTGAAGGGTGAAGATGCGCAGACATCCATACCGTTTCTGAAATTCAGGGATTGGCTGGGTCTTTTGTTGGAACACAATTGTTTGCATATTTTTTGCGGGCTGCTAAAACCAGACCGCGAAAGAGAGTGTGCTATTTTGGAACACTTCTGGCGGTGCTTCGAAGTTCAGAACCCTCAGCACCCTATCTTCCAGAAGGCAAGGAGTGGAGAGTGTTCTCTTGGGCGCACAGTGCCCTTGCTTCTGCACGGTGACGAAGGACGATCAAAAAAACGATCTGCATTTTTGATCCTGAACTTGCACAGTCCCTTAGGACGGGGGGTGGATCCTCAGTTGCAATCTGGGCAGAGGCGAAGAAAGTATCTCAAGTTGGAGCCCAACTTCAAAGGCCACAGTTACACCAACCGTTTCTTGGTGTCTGCTGTTCCCAAGGCTTCGTACACAGGTCCGAACGAGTCCAATTTCTCAATGCTTTTAGATGCTGTGGCAGAAGAACTTCTCCATGTGTCCACTGTTGGGGTGGAGAGTCGATCGCAAACATGGCATGCATGCTGCATTGGCATAGTTGGTGACTGGCCATGGCTAGCCAAGTGTGGATTGGATAGAAGCTTCATGAACGTGGAGAAACACAAAGAAAATGCACGTGGGGTATGCAAAGGGATTTGCCATTTATGCCAAGCCGGCCAGCCTGGAACCCCATACGAGCAGATTGCTTCAAAGACTCCGCTTTGGCAAAATACAATGCTGGCGCAGCCACCATTTTCCCGGCCTAGCCCTTTTCAAGGCATTCCTCATGTTGAAGGTGAGCTGCCAACCCTTTTTCATTTTGATCTGTTCCATTGCTGGCACCTGGGCATGGCCAGGAACTACTTGGGATCAACGTTGGCCCTATTGTCGCAGCTGGAACCTGGATCCAATGTCGACCTGAGGTTTGAGCAGCTATCGGAGAAATATTTGGGCTGGTGTCGTCAACACCATCGACAGGCCCATTGCCAGCGGATCACGAAGGAACACTTGGGATGGTTGAGCACATCATACTATCCAACAGGTGGCTGGCACAAAGGCGATTTGTCAACCAGCCTTATGCTGTGGGTGGAGGCCAGATTTCACACTGAGGATTGGAGCCATGATAGCGCTTTGCAACTGGCGGGGGAAGCTGCCGAGGCCATCAACTGTTTCATCTCCAAACTTTACCATGGTGGTGCGTTTTTGTCACCCAGTGAAGCCAAGGAAGCTGGTGAATTTGGAATGCGGTTTCTTCGTGGGTACAATTCTCTTGCGGTTCAAGCCCACCGCAATGGCCAGCGCTTTTGGCTAATCATGCCAAAAGCACACGCGATGCATCACTTGATCTTGGGGTTGTTAAACAACTCCCAAACGGGGTTGTGTCTTAATCCTGTCTGCACATCAGTGCAGCAGGATGAGGACTTCATAGGTAGAGGTAGTAGGTTATCCCGTCACGTAAGTTCGGTGACTTGTGCTGAGAGAGTGGTTTCAAGACATTTGCAAAGTGTCTACAACAAATTTGTAGAATGCGGGTATTTGATTAGAGCTAAGGGGGCGGCGCATTAGCGTATGCTTCACAAAAAATGACATTTATTATTTTTTGCCATTTCACTTCATTGCAATATATACTTTGTTGTTAGTTGCTGCTACCCCTGAGCTCATGGCTTTGGCAAATTTGGCCAGCGCTTCTCCAAGTTGAACCAGGTGTTGCATCAGCAGGGGTGGCGGTGCAACTGGAGAAACACGGGAAAATCATGAAAAATCAAAACCTCGGGTTTCTGCTGAAAACCTCGGGTTTTCACTCAGACCCTACGTTTTTCTCGGGTATGGAAGGTCAAGGTATATATATAATAGTATAGTATATAATAATATACTGTAATTACTTTGGGGATGTCTTCCCTCAATCTACCGTTACCATTGGGCTTGTCCCTGGGGACACCAAGCCTCCCATCAGATGGCAGCGTGTTTGTCCAGCGTTTCCAGCACCCACTGTAGACCTTCGTGGAAGCCTTGGCCGGTGAGCCCGCTGGTCTTCTGCACGTGGTATGTCCAATCACCTTAGAATGCCGGGCGGCTTCCAGTGGCTGGAAATCCTCTCAAGCCCGTCCCGCTGGGGACCTTCAAGCGTGCAAAAACCCGGCTTTCTGATGTTCTGTGAAATTGCATCATATTCAATAAAACCCTGGTGAATTAATGGCGGATTCCTAATCATTTTCATTTGAACGACTGCATATGTCTCTGCTAAAATGGGGCTACCCCAAAAGAGCGATCCCCAAAAAATGGTTTTGGATCTTGCTGATTGCTGACCATCCATTTCTGGGGTATCACCATCTATCACCATTTTAAGAGTCATTGCCACGTAGAAAAAACATGAAAGATCAACATGCCCAAAAACTACAACTATTATAGCTTCTATATTCGTAGTGCACATGTTTCTTTGCCTAAAAAAACTTATACGAGTAGCGAGCATAATTGCTTACTACTCGCAACGGACATGGCCAAAGTTGGTGGTCCCCTATTTGTTGTGAGGGCTTGTGCTTCCATGCTATGTGTAAAAATAGAGTATCGGTATGTGGGTGGTCCCCTATCGGTCGTGAAGGTTTCCACAAAAATTTGAACATCCCAAGTGTCTTCCACTACTTTTGTTGGTTACTCATATATATATAATTAATCCCATCCTCCCTATAGTAAGCACGCCCTAAATGGTCCCAAATAAGTGTAAATCTTCCATTAAAGCATGTTTTCTAGGGGTGTTTAACCTGAGGCGGATGGGACTATAATTCATCATCATTAATCATCACTATATCATAATTAATCAACATTGATCAACATCATTTCATTAACCATTACTAATAAGTTATTAAGTTCTTAACCAGTATCAACCATTGTTAACCATGATTCACCATCTACAACCATGGCACATTAACCCCCCAATCCACCAATCCACCTGGTAACTCCGAGAGTTTCAGAGCTAAGGAGAGCTGATCCACGTCCATGGCACCTTCAAGATCCTGAAAAAACACGCGAAAGATATGGAAAAAAAAACAGGATTGGTGGATATTTTTTTAAGGGAAACCCATAGGTTTTCCACATAGTTTACCAGCCGGGTAAATTCAACACTTTTGCCATGGAAAATGCATGAACATGGCTGAATATGGCTCATTTATAGATGATTTACTGGCATTTTAAATCATCGTAATGGGCGTCGCCACATTTCTCAACCTCTTGAACTTAAAACTTGATAAACCAAAAGTTGAGAAGCACCCAAAGTTCATCATGTTTATTGGATTAACATCCAGCTATAATAGTTGATTCATTCCAGTTTCAGGAGAATATCGCCAAGGTGGGTGAAGTGTGATGGGGATATCCAAAGGTCGCCTAAGTTTTCAAATCAAACAGCCGTCGCCCCACCGCCCCACCTGTTTGTTGGCCAAAATCAGCAGCACTTTCTTGGTGTTCCACCTGGGGGATGCTGAAGGTACATCAAGATAGTCAAGATATATTAAGTTACCCTCTGGTAAACTAACGTAACTATGGAAAATCACCATTTTCAATGGGTAAATCCACAACAAATGGCCATTTTCAATAGCTATGTTAAATTAGGGTATGTGTGCATCATATGTTTTCCCTATCAAAATGACGATTTGGGAGCATAAGCCATTTTCAAACACACCCATATAATGGCAGACTTGGGTTACTTCAGCGTTTTCTTCGTTGTCTTACTGGACATGAGAACCCAAGGCAGCAACCCCAGACATGGGTCAAACCAGAGCAACTGGTGACAATTAGGAACGATTCATGCAGGAGGTTGGCACATAGAAAGTACCATCTGGTTATTTAACATAGCCATGGAAAATCCCTGAAAAATGGAGGTTTTAATGGGAAAATCATCTATAAATGGGCCATTGTCCATGGCTATGTTAAATAACCAGAGGGTATCATGAGATGCTCCATATATTGGAATAGTTGGGTACCGTATGCTGTACCAACGAATTTACACAAAAAGAATCACTGCTTCATCGCAGGTAGATATACGTGTCACACGGAGCATCGAAATGGCCCCCGATCTACCATCTGGTTATTTAACATAGCCATGGAAAATCACCATTTGTAATAGGTAAATCATCTATAAATGGGCCATTGTCCATGGCTATGTTAAATAACCAGAGGGTATCTTCTATCAAACCTAGCAATGGAACCCTTATTAAGGGCCGCAGTGTGAACCCATCTGCCATCAACATACGTATGTCTCATACCATTGGATGAAATCCTCATCTTCATTCAACTACTTGGTACAATCCGAAAATCACCATCATAGTTGCCTGAAGTCACAAAACAAAAAAGTCGTCAGCAAATACTTAGTACATCTTAGTAGCCTCCTATTAAGTTGATGGTCCACTATCACTCAATTTCAATGTTTTTATCACATGAAATCGCCATTTGATATGGGTGAAGGACCAGCATCCACCATAGCCTCCAAATTTTCCAAATGTCGAGGTTCTGAAGGATGCCACGATGCAGTTGCTCAGTGGCCTGTGCGAAGCTAGGTGACATGAAGTCAGGTGTCACCGGTGTGGTTGAAAAGTATTGCTCCGTGAGATTCAGAAACAAAGGTCACACGGAAAAATACACACACGCATCTAAAGAATGCAAACAATACTGGTGCATATTAGTATACATATCAGTCTAATCAAACGAAATATATATATATACATATATTACATATGTATTTGTGTGTATATGTAAAATTGTAAATATTCTAAAACAAACACATATACATGGTGTATGATCTTGTATGCATCCATTGCGTCCATCGCTATTTTTCCGTGGTTTCTGTCGCTCCTGAAATTTCTTAAGTTTGCGCCGTCAAAACTCCAGGACCGTCATTTCATGTTAAATGATTGAATCTTCATTTCTGGATAAATAAAACTGAGCCAAACTATGTCAAAATGCAAACTGGTTGGTGGTTGAGCCACTCCTCTGAAAAATATAAAGTCAATGGGAAGGATGACAACCCATATATTATGGAAAAACAAAAAATGTTCCAAACCACCAACCAGTATGTCAAAATGCAAAGCTGTGCTGGCAAAATCGTCATCAGATGGCCAAATGATTCAAATGCCCCAGTGCTCCTCCATTTGAAAATGGACTTGGTGAAGGGAAATCTACAGTCACTAGATGATAATCCCCAATATATTGCGGAGTATAGCCACGTGTCACCCCCTGCCATAATCACAACCAGATACCTACTCATCAAGTCATAACTACTTGGATGATTTTCACATGATATTCCCTTAAAGTTTACACACCCTCTAAGTGGACAAGGGGCAACTGCACCCCCAATCCTGAAGATTTTAAAGAGAGAACCCTATGAAAAAATGGTAAATCCTCCATTTTCCTGCATAAACCCTATTTTCCTCCACAAATCATCCATTTCCTTCATAAATCCTAGTTTCCTCCATTAATCCTCCCTTCTCCTCCATAAACCTAGTTGACCTTGTCTCCTAAACCGAGCTGCCTCTTGAGAGCTCGTCGAGCTGTCGACCACAAAAATGAGACCATCAGCAGATCGATCAGCATAGATGTTGCCCAGCCTGTGATGAGGCTGCCATGTGCAAACCTGGAAACTGAACAGACAAAAACTATGAGTTGAATATCTATCTGCCGATCTATCATGATCAATCTATCCAATGATCTTCTCTACATCTTTCTGTCCATTATACCTCTATATCTATCCGTCCTTCCGTCCATCCATCCATCCTTCCATCTATCTATCCGTATATCCATCTATCGATCTAAATCCGAACCCATCCGTCCAGAGATCAAGTTGTCTATTTCTCTGTCCAGCTATTTATCTATCTATCCATCCATCCATCTATCTATCTCTCTATCTCTCTCTATCTCTCTCTCTCTCTATCTATCCAATCGAATCTAATCTAATCTAATCTATCAAATCTATCAATCTGTCAATCTATCAATCTATCAATCTATCAATCTACCTATCCATCCATCCTATCCATCCTATCCATCCTATCCATCCTATCCATCCTATCCATCCTATCCATCCTATCCATCCTATCCATCCTATCCATCCTATCCATCCTATCCATCCTATCCATCCTATCCATCCTATCCATCCTATCCATCCTATCCATCCTATCCATCCTATCTATCCTATCTATCCTATCTATCCTATCTATCCTATCTATCCTATCTAGCCTATCTAATGCCTATCTATCCTATCTATCCTATCTATCCTATCTATCCTATCTATCCTATCTATACTATCTATCCTATCTATCCTATCTATCCTATCTATCCTATCTATCTTATCTGTCCGTCTGTCTGTCTGTCTGTCTATCTATCTAATCTAATCTAATCCAATCTAATCTATCTAATCTATCTGTCTATCTATCTAATCTAATCTAATCTAATCCAATCTATCTTTCGTTTGTGTTTTTTTTTCTCTCTCTCTCTCTGTGACTTTATGTTGTTCTTTCTTTATTTGTTTCTTTCGATCAGTTATCTTAACCATAGAAGACCATAGACTAGCCTTTATCTTAACCCATCAAGTCTGGAATTTCCGGTAACAAGCACATCACAGCTCTGCATATACATGTACGTTATATATATTATGATACACTGGGTTTGACCCCATCAAGTGTGGGAATTTGACAAATAAAATCAAGTCGAACTGGGTCGAGGTACAACCTATGTGCGTTTGACCCCCGAAGTGCAGGTGTTTCTCCTATGGATTGCTGGAGGGTACATGGTGCCCCATAGATGGCCTTTCTTCCTTTCCAACTGGATGGCAAAAGTAGATACGATATGATATAATATGACAATGTACAATAATATACACCAATAAACACTCATATACGCGAATTAATATATATGATTATATACCAATAAACACTAATATATTGATCAATTTACATCATATCTTTGTTGTTCGATGGGTGAACTAGACACTTTCTTAATACCTCGGGGGATGCTCCCCTTCCGACTAGCGAGTCCTCGTGTTCTCCTAGGCTCTTCCGTCCTCATCTCGTTGGGGGTTCTTGTGGATTTCATCAATGCCATGACTGGTTGGTGGTATACCTACCCCTCTGAAAAATATGAGTTCGTCAGTTGGGATTATTATATATTACTATCCCCAATATATGGAGGAAAAAAAAAGTTCCAAACCACCAACCAGTACTCAGTTCCTTAATTTTGAATTTATAAAAACTTGGGACTTAATTAGCCGGCAGAAATGAGGAATCAACATGAATCAACCACTCAAAACAGAGTGTTTGATACAAAGTGTTGGTGCTTCTATCCCAACCATTCCAGTGATTTCCCAGGATCTGCGCCTCATAATGCGGTCTTTCCCGGCAATGTCGAAGACAGTGAAGGTGGTGTTCTGAAATCTCACCGCCTCCACGTTGTAACCAACTGTTGGTATGGCCTGCATGCGTGGCTGTCTGTGGATGTGGTGATGGGTGGAAGCCGGTGATTCTAGGAACATCATGGAAGTATATATATATATATACATATTATATATCATTATATATTGTTATATATGCTACACATGGATATATATATAATATACATATATAATATACATATATGGCATTTATCATGACGTGATCAAATGCTGAAAATATCTCAACCACCTCTTGGTCCCCATGAGCCCCGCATGGTCTTGCGTATCTGGTTTCCGACTTATGGCCAACTTGGGGCCCCCACCATCCCTGCTTTTCCATACCCACCACAGCCTGCACATGTTCACCCAGCTTGAAGTGATACAGTAGGGTCGTTTTCCCCGCATACGCTGGGCCAATCATCAACAGCCGCCGTGAGCGGCGGTCATTGCGGCTGAACCACGCGCCCATGGCTGCAACAGAAGGTGCATGTTGAATTGTCACCAACGAGAAACAATTTGGTCATCTCTTATACTTTTATATTTGTTACCTCCAGGGGTCACGTTCACTGGAATATCAGGATTATAGAGCAGGTAACAACCCCAACGAATTCGCAGAACATTTTTTGGGGGCTACCTGTTTCACTACTTGTGTCGTGCGTGACCTACGTGGGGCACCCGTACGGTCAAGCCAGCAGATTAGGCAGAAGCTCTGTAGAAGCAGCTGATCCCATCAACCTAGCTAAATTATAGCACCTCACCCACCTCGAATCACATAATTTCTAGTTCTAGTGATCATGTCGCAGTAAGAATATTACAAGTCACCTATATCAACTGCATGACCCACTGCCGAGGTATAAGGGTCGGTCAAACTGAACATGTGCAGCTCAGTGGTAGGAACAAATGTGACAATTTCTTTCAGTGATGTATGGGCTATACTGTGGATAGTGGTTAGATTAGATTTGATTTAGATTGGATAGGTACATACCTATTGTATAATATGATGTATGCAAATTCGGACCCACAAAGAAAATATAAGCCATTCTCACATGCACCCTTATCTCTGACATGATCAAGATATTACAGTCTCTCCTGAAAAAATCATGATGATATCCAGAAATAGTATCCAAACATTCATGCAAATGTAACCCAACGGCCAACCCCAATGGCCCAATGTCTGTTTTATGTCCCCATACATACGTGGCGTTTCTGGGGCGCTAGTGGCTGGTCAAAACACAACGGTAACCACAGCCAAAGCTGGCATACGTTGATGGATGTTGACCCACCAAGCAATTGGAAAACTTGGAAAACTTTGGTGTTGATCCCATTGACTTATACCCTCTGGTAAACTAACATAGCTATGGAAAATGGCCATTTATAGTGGATTTACCCATTAAAAATGGTGGTTTTCCATAGCTATTTTAAATTACCAGAGGGTACCATATATGTTTTTGTTGAAACCAGCATTTGCGGTAATGAACACACTATTTTTCCATTAAACCACATTTTACCGGTTGAATCAATCTTTTTGAAACAACTCACAATTTCCCAAAATTAAATCATATTTTTTATTGATTAGATTGAACAAGTAGATACATACAATCAGCCATGCCATTTTGTTTGGGGCTTAAAGCTCATCTAAAGGGTACCCCAGTTATCATCCAGTCGTTATGACCATGACGACGAGTATTGAAAGCCATGACTTGGGGTATCACCATGTTAGGAAAGTCCCAGATCTGGGTAAAGAAAATCATAATTCTCAATTGAAATATGTAATGTGGGTATGGGTCAATACCTATAGATACATTTTTAGTGGGATGAACATCCATTTACCAGCTATTTTGGGGTTCACTAGGTACCAGGGTTTTGACCCATCCCCATGTAAGGCTATTCTGGGATAGTAACAAACTCCTACTAACCATCAATGTCCAGATGGACGTGTGGTAACGTGGTGCAAGAAATGATCACTCAATTTCTGATTTCCATGGATTTCCCAAAAATTGTCTAGAAATCTATGGAAATGGTTGTCCATTTTCCAATTTTCCAAAAAAGAAAATCATTTGGTCCTAAATGTCCATAGATTTCCCATAGATTTCCCATAAATTTCCCATAGATTTCCCATAAATTTCCATCTTTAGGACACCTCCCAATGAACTGAGCACTGAGGCTCCCAGCCAGCTCCTCGCTCTGCGCTTCTGGTGCTCCCAGGCGCACCGCGGCACCCACTGCGCCCAGGACCAGACGGTCCTCATGGGGATACTATGATACCATGGGATGTTCTACCTATAATGTTTATATGTTTATATATATATATATATTATATTAAGATATGTATTTTAAAAAAATATATTATATTATAGTATGTATAAATATACAGTTAATGATGTATACATCATTAATTTTCATGTACTTGATGTATATATATATATATGATTGATATATTATATAATCTTTAATGGTTGCATATGGTTACTGAGATGCAAACTAATCCCAGACTTTCATTGGATTGATTGAAGGGAACATCTGAACCCCGGAAACCGTGGGTTTTTCCCATTGACATCGATGAAATACCACGGGATTCTCGGACAACATTATCTGGTTGGTGGTTGACCTACCCCTCTGAAAATATTGAGTCAGTTGGGATGACTATTCCCAATATATGGACAAATAAAAAATATTCCAAACCACCAATCAGTTATATATATATATATCCCTAGAACATCCTAGAACCAATACAATGAATAGGGATTTCATGGTGATTTGACTGGACCACAAAATGCTTGGTGCGGACCGCCAAAACAATGCTAGGCCACCACGGTGATGTAAGGATACTTAATGTCGAATGAAACGCCAGCTACCACAAAAAAAAAGGGTGAAACTTCAGATTTGGATTAAGTGGACCCAAATCCACAAATCTGGAATGGGGATAAACTGAGTCATACCTCCCATTTTTTTTGATTCTTGGAGAAATCGCTAGGGAAAGGAAACAGAAGCATTACCCTCTGGTAAACCAACAGTTTGCTATTGAAAATTGCCCAGTCGAAATATTGGATTTACCGGATTTACCCATTAAAAATGGTGATTGTCCATAGTTTTTTGTTAATGTTTACCAGAGGGTAACCTTGAGGGTGAAACCCTCATTGATTCCCATGGTTTTTCAAACTTAATGTCACTCAATCCCGATGTTTTAGTCCAAATCAGCAGGTCAAATCTCCTCAATCCCACGCCCGGTACGGGCAAATCATTGCCAAAAGCAAAAGCCTATATATAAGGAACCTACCATATATAAGAACCTATATATATATATAACATAGTATTGGTTAGTTGGAGAATGGTTAGTTGAAGAATATTCACTTTAATGGCCATTTCAGGAACCTAAATTGGAGGTACCTACCATATACGGCCTATATAAGGGAACAATCCCACAAAATATGGCCTGAAAAATGGTACAGTACCTCCATTTTGGGATCCTGAAATTCCCATAGACCTACAGTATCGTTATTTAACTTGGATGACATAGCTATGGACAATCATGATTTTTGTTAGGTAACCCATCAATCGTCATCTATTTCTATGGGCCATGGCTTCCACAGAGGGACCCGTGGTTCGGTCACATTCCTTTGGTTGTGACATGTTTCTGACAATTGACCGGCCAAAAAACGGGATAGAAAAGATATGATTAAGACACAGGGACTGATAAAAAAAATCTGTCCCAAGCAGAAATGTAGGTATCCATTAAATTAATGGATTGATGACTATCCCCAAATATACATATATATATATAATATATATATATATACATATACTATAACTATATACCATTTAAAAAAAAAAAAACATCAATCTTCACTATGGCACAAATACTTGGATTTGCTTAAGGCTAATAATTCCACTCTACATCCCAGTATATCCCATTATTTATGGCCTTTTCCTATCTTTTCCTATCTATAGTTCCCCATTCTCCCTCCAACTAACTATGGTTTATAGATTTTATGGATCTATCTATCTATCTATCGATATATCGATCTATCGATCTATCTATCTATCTATCGATCGATCGATCTATCGATCTATCGATCTATCCATCTATCCATCTATCCATCTATCCATCTATCCATCTATCCATCTATCCATCTATCCATCTATCCATCTATCCATCTATCCATCTATCTATCTATCTATCTATCCATCTATCCATCTATCCATCTATCCATCTATCCAGCTATCCATCTATCCATCTATCCATCTATCCATCTATCCATCTATCCATCTATCCATCTATCCATCTATCCATCTATCCATCTATCCATCTATCCATCTATCCATCTATCCATTTATCCATCTATCCATCTATCCATCTATCCATCTATCCATCTATCCATCTATCCATCTATCCATCTATCCATCTATCCATCTATCCATCTATCCATCTATCCATATATCTATCTATCTATCTATCCATCTATCTATCTATCTATCTATCGATCTATCGATCTATCTATCTATCCATTTATCCATCTATCCATCTATCCATCTATCCATCTATCCATCTATCTATCCATCTATCGATCTATCTATCTATCTAATCGACCAATCTACCTAATCTACTAATCTACAAATCTACATATCTATCTATCTATCGATCTATCTATCTATCTATCTGTCTATCTATCGATCGATCCATCTATCCATCTATCCATCTATCCATCTATCCATCTATCCATCTATCCATCTATCCATCTATCCATCTATCCATCTATCCATCGATCTATCGATCTATCGATCTATCGATCTATCGATCTATCGATCTATCGATCTATCCATCTATCCATCTATCCATCTATCCATCTATCCATCTATCCATCTATCCATCTATCCATCCATCGATCCATCCATCTGTCTATCTGTCTATCTGTCTATCTGTCTATCTATCTATCTATCTATCTAATCGACCAATCTACCTAATCTACTAATCTACAAATCTACATATCTATCTATCTATCTATCTGTCTATCTATCGATCTATCTATCTATCTATCTATGGATCTATGGATCTATCTATCTATCTATGTATCTATCTAATCTAACCTAACCTAACCTAATCCAATCTAATCTAATCTATATAATCTAATCTAATCTATCAATATATCAATCTATCAATCTATCAATCTATCTATCTATCTCTCTCTCTATCTAACTACTCTCCCTCTCTATCTAACTACTCTCTCTCTCTATCTATCTATCTATCTATCTACCTATCTATCTATCTATCCATCCATCTATCTATCTATCTATCTATCTATATGGTTTACGTAAATGTTGACAAACCAACTATCTATCACTGAGAGGGAGCACCATCTCCCCACCCACCCTCCAGGTTTTCACCTCCTCAATGGAGCTTTTGTTCAACTTCTTCGCTTCCTTCTTCACCGCCTCCGCCGCAGCGGCGGCTTGCTCCACCACCGAGGCGCCTAGCCATACCGGAAAGCGGCTGCGAGAAAAGAT